GGTGTTCTAGTAGATGGTGGGTACAGAGGAAACATGGCCACTTTCAAGGTTTGAAGTCTTGGTTTATACACTGAAGCCACATGACTTTCTGCTTTGGAAGACGCCCAAAGCCTGAGTATCCTACCTTATTGGTAGAGTGTAGTAGGGTATTAGTGCTTTCCTCTTTGAGTAGGAACTACTTGTATCTCAAAAACTGCAAAATCCAGCATGCAGCTTTTTCCCTTAATCCATCTCTGCATAGCCAGTAACACATGGTGTCCTGCAGTTCGTCTATAAAAGTCAAAAATGCTTTTTAGTGCCAACATGGATAGTCAGATGATTACAAATCTGCAACCAAAGCAAAAGCTACAAGATAGTTTTCAGAAATAGTTGAAAATACTTTGCAAGGTGCTCATGATGTGTGTGTTAGTACAAAGAAGCAGAAACTGACAGAAGGACACAGGATTAGAGCTTCTGCTACAAAATGCTGCAGAGATACCGTGTACCCATCTTATGCTTCCTTTGTTCCAGTTTGCCTTGTGCCTCTACAGTGCTGATCCTAAACAGCTCCACTCCTGCAGTTCTGCCATCATTACAGTCAAAAGATCTAAACATTTCTCATGCTGTTACTAGAAATGCTGCTTCAGTATTGCTCTTCATTCTTTAACAGACTCTGTTAGGGATCTTAAGTAAATACTTTAAGACCAAGCACTGTTTCTGTACTAGTAGTATGTTCATGCCTACTTCATAAAAAAGTAAACATGGAGTTTGTTAACAAAGCTGTTACAAGTTTGTTTTGTTTTCATAGAGGAGAACATCTGTGAATCATGCCTGTCTCCAATACTTCCTTCAGGTAGGATGCTTTGCTAGAAGGAAAAGAGGTTGTCTTTTTTTCTAATTATTTTTAGAGGAACTGCTGTTTGCTTTTATTCATAGAAATGTGTAATAGCTTTCCTTGATAATCCCTGTATAAATATCAGTCTCCTGTGCAAAGCTTGCTTAGGAATTCTGATATGGGAGTAGAGTCAAGTGTGAACTATTTTTGTTGCATTAAACCCAGATTTTCTTTGACTTCCTTATTTTCTGCTTGGAAATACGTGGCAGCTTTAAATTCCATCAACATACATGTTCTCACAAATTATCAGAACCACAAAAGTAAGCTGTTGCCACCAAATCTTGTCCAACTCTGTTGAACGATTTAGGCTGAACTTGTAGATCATGACGTTTTATGGAATATACTTTTTGTCAGAGTGTGGAACGCTCTTGGCTTCAGTCACTGCTGTCGTGTTTGAAACAACTTATAACAGACTGTGGTTTTAAAATATCTTCTAAAGTGAGTTTTGAAACTAGAAAATCAGGATATTATTTTGAAGTTGCACGTTCTGCAAGGCAGCTATAGCTCGGATACACCAATAGAGTTGTTGGGCATCTTAAGAAAAAAGGAGAATCTCATGGCATCTCCAAACAAGAATGTGTAAGACAAAATATGTATGGACCTATTTATTTTTGTTTCCCAAATAGAATCGATTAGTTTTTCAATCTGCTTTCTACCATTTTTCACTCTAAATAAAACCAACTATCCTATGATCATATGTGCCACCGTACAGACCACAGCAGTCGCATGGTGATAAAAAAACCTGGCAGTGATGAATGTGCATACCTTTTGAGGTATGCATGTTGAGGGAGTGGAAGCCAAGGAATTGAAAGTTATAGAACCATAGAATCAATCAGATTGGAAAAGACCTTTAAGATCATCAAGTCCAACCATTCTCCAGCACTGCCAAGGCCATCACTAAACCATGTCACTGAGGGCCTCATCTACACAGTTTGTGAACACTTCCAGTGATTCCACCACTGCCCTGGGCAGCCTGTTTCAGTGGAGGATTCTGATGAGTAAGGCAGTTGTTATTTGGATATGTGGACATATGTGGTATGTAGGCTTATAACGGGGCTAAGTATTCACGTGGGAATCGAAAGGCACATCATGCACTTAGGCAGCTTCTTGCCAAATTTCAAGATCACGGCGTGCAGTGTAGGCACTAGAACTGCTTAATGTTCTGGTTCTCCCCACACTACTAGCACAAGATCTTCTTTGCTAACTTTGCTTCAAAATGGCTAAATTATTTGCTGGTAGTTTGCTGCTTCTCCCTCCCCAAATTTTGCATGTAGCACAGACTAACATGAAAAGTTTCTGGTGCAAAGGTATACAGCATTTAAGCCATGAAATAAAATTGTCTTCCAACTCCATCACTGGGACATCTTACCTGAAACCATCACTCTCCACGGTTTCTATAAATGAGCCAGAATAAGTTGGAAATTAACTTGAGAGCTGTTACTCGATGTTTCTGTGTGTAGAACACATTGCAGTTATGTACTGCTGTAGCCACTGAATTACTTGTTTTGTTGCCCTGTTATAATGCATTTACCTTCCTCTTTTCCTAGATGCATCCAAGTCCTTCAATGTGGTAGTGTTCCACTGCAGACACATGTTTCACAAGGAGTGCCTCCCGGTATCTAACACAGTAAGGAAATAACTTGATCTCTCTGACACTTTTGCCTAAGATAAAAGGACAGATTACTTCCTTTTGTTGACTGTAGAGAAGTGCATGGCTCTATCAGAAATTACAGTGCGATTACACTAATTATCTGTGGTGATAACCTATAGCAGTATGTGACCAAGGAGAGGGAGTTTAGGGCCACTGCAACTAAAGTTCATCCAATTTAGAAAGAGATTGCTGCTGTTTGAGGTGTACTTTATCGCTTCCTGCAATCTGAATATTCAGCGCACCTTTGAGACATACAGGGAATACAACCTGTTTGATTTCTTTAATTAATTCCTTTCCATTGCAGCTCTCACTTTACGTATGTTTAATTAAAGACAAGAATAAAGATATTTTCTCAAGAGAAGTGTATTAAATGTTTCTGACTTGGAAGAAAAAAAATCACTAATTTCAGATTTAATATTTAAATATCTTTGTAATCATCTTTATACCCAGAAAATGCTTGTTTTCATCAGGGAATTCCCCCCCCCCCCCCCCCCCTTAAAACAAATCAAAATCTAGATAGAACCATTCTTGAATTTAGAATGGAAAGCATCAGAGTGGTAACAAAATCACCACAAAAATGGAATTTAATCTGATTCTGCATATGTATCTGAAAATGAACATCCACTGAAAAAATAACTTCGGTGAATCACTTAATCTGCAAGTAACCAAGCAAACTGCTTGTAGCCATATGGTACAGCATGTCTACTTAAACATGTCCTGAAAATCTAAATGAGTTAGATCGTTTGCATGAGAAAGCCCAACAACTAGTAAATATTTATTCAAATAATGTTTACCACTAATTTTATTATTTGGGAAATAAGCTAAGTTTTATCCAGCTTTCTCAGTTTTTTAGAACAGGTAACCTGTGAGGTGGGTTTCTAAATGTGACATGGGTATTACAGTATATATATTCTATAGCACGTAAGAATGTAAAGACACCTGCATGTATCTGGGCCAAATTCTCCAATGTATAGTATTTCTTGGCCTTAGGTAATCAGCTGTGTTACTGATACTTGGTTGCCGGTGACATACTGAAAGGGAAATAACGCATGCATAAAGCATCACAGAGCTAAACTCAGTAGTAACAATAAATACCTGTTTGATCTCAAATGGACAGTATTCCTGCCATATCCTCAGCTGCTGGAAATCTGTTGAACTCTACCTAAAGACAGAGTCGTAACTGAGACATCAGTGATCAGTGGAGCTGACCAAGCGACTTACTTTCCTCTTATCTAGGAAGATAATTAGCAGTGCTTTTGACTCTGTATGTTTTTTGTTGTGGAGGAAATTGGACCTTACTCTCCAGGAGGGTGGTGAGAATGTACTTGGAGTAAGTGGTGAGGTGTACTGCCCTCTGACTCCAGAACAGCCTGCTTTGTTACGTTTCTTCTGTATTGCTGTCCTGTGCCTGTCCACGCTGATGTTGATAGCCTGACTCTGAGCAGTAACATTGAGAAAGGCACTTTTCCCACACTCTAATGTGGCTGCATTTCTCTAAGAGATTCTTTTTTTCTTTTTCATTTCTAGGTATCTTCTGTTCAGTTCTGCAACATATGCAGTGCCAAACACCGAGGGCCAGGAAGTGCTATCCTGGAGATGAAGAAATAGCAGTCCCATAAGAGTCTGTGACACCAAATCTGTAGGACCATGCTGAGCTACTGTAGTTTCTGTTAGTTAAAATTTCTGTATATAAATCTGATTGTGCTTTAAAACTTGTTTGTGTAAGTTATTCAGCTTGTTGAACATTTTGGGGAAAGAGAAGATGTGAAAATGTTTTCCTAGTAAGTCTTCGTTACACAATTCATATGCCACTGTTCCTTTGCTCAGCTCATTACTTATCTCTGCAACAGAAAAGAGAAATAAAATAGGAAGGGAAGAAAACAGTTTGAAGATTTGTGCTTGCTATCAGTTAATGTGCTTTACAGTTTGGAGCTGTATCAGGCTCCTCATAGTTAGATACTGTAAAGGAAGATGGATTGCTGTGTACTTAGCTCGCTAAACCCCTTGAGTTCTGATGTAGTCTATTACTGACGTGTTTAACTTGAGACCCATAGGAGTCTGACTGCTTTCAGTGCTTCAGTCCTGCTTCAGGACTGTCATTAAATTAACAAACTCATTAACTGTTCCACACATGGACAGTTTACCTTGGTTTTATGGTAACACATTTGTAGTTTGCTATAAACTTGTTATTTACCCAATTGATGTTCATAATGCAGTAGTTTAAGGTGACCTTCTCTCCTGTTAAAATCATCCAGAAACCTTAGTTTTGTTAGCAACAGCTCTTTACACTTACAAGTGTGGTTCTAATGTCTGATTTAAGTATGGGGAGGGGAGGAAGGGAAATCTGACCTTTCAAAGATCTCTACAAGTTTATTTTGGCCTTAGGAAGGGAATAGGGAAATTAAATCAGTTTATTTGGATGTTAAAAAAAACCCATATTTATTTTTAATTTAAACAGCATTCTGTTTGTTGTTCCAAAGGAGGTTATCTTTCACAATGTCTTCACAGTAATGTAATCTCTTTATAATGTTCTCTGATTAAATTAAATATAAGCATCCTTTACCTAAGAAAAAAAAAAAAATGTTTCAGAACTCCCAAGATTTTTTTCCTCTTTTTAAGAACTGGAGTTTGAAGGTAAAACTACATGTTTTACCATCAAATTGTGAGGTTTAAACCAGTAGTTAACGCCGTAAGTTCTGAAACAGTGGTGGGGTGATACTGGAGTGTATCTTCAAAACTGGAAAATGCAACACCTCTAAGTCCTTCTGTACTTTACTCCCATGTAGGTACACCTTAAAATCATTTGTATTGTCGAAACCCGGATTTCTAGTTTATGTAAATTCATTACACTCTTTTGATATCCTCTGGGCAGTTGGCTGAGCTGATCTAGCAATCTGAACAGTGATTTTTTTGTCCGCTGAGTAGATCCGTATAATACTGGTATAAAATTTTAAGTGTATTAGAAATAGTAGGATTTACTCTGCATGGTTACAGAGACAAAATTATCATTGAAAGGATGGATCTCAAAAACATAACAGTCATTCTGTTGTGATAATACAGACAGCTGAGGAGAAATAGATAATGGTGCAGGTGGTTTATGGACATGTAGTAGATAAAATAACAGAAGGATAGGAGCTTTGTTAAGCTTCACCCGTAAGAATTACAGCCTGGCTCTGTAGCAGTTCAATTCACTGGCTAGTACATATTCTCAGGTATATTGTTCATTCATTCATTCTTTACTTCACTGATCAGAAGAGCTGCTTTGATTCCTAGTAAACAGAATGCTCCAATGAACTCAAGAGCTGTTTCATCGTCATATATGAGCTGTTGCAATAGACAAGTTTAGAAACATCTTCAAAACCCACTTCTTCAGTAGCTATAAGCAGCTTTTCTATGTAACACCCGAAGAATGCACTGTGCAATGCCGTAGCTGTCAGCTTGCAGGAGGAAAAGGTCAACTAACTTCTATACAGTTATGCCACAAACTAACTGTAGCTCAGAGTTATATGCTAATTTAAAGTAGGTCTGTTGTTTACTTCAGCTTGACCTTAAATTCCCTAAAGCATTTGAGCATTCAGTGACTCAGTTTGCCAGCCTGCCATCCCTAGCAATCATACTGCATTATAACCTGGCATATTCTTTGCATTATGCAAGTAATTTTAAATGACTGTATGAAAATCTAATCAAAATCTTCTCTAAATCCAAAGCTTCTTTCATTTTGGGCTTCAGGGACTACTCTTTTCATGTTCCTGAATTCTAAATTCCCTCATTAGGATTCCACAAGAAATACACAGTCCTGACTTTGATTCAGTTTTCTTCATAAGAAGCCTTCACATCATAGAAAATGTCTGAAGTTAAAGTCTAAAATATTCAGCTACCCAAGAGCTTTTCTACCGGTGAAGAGTTCTGACTAAGAAGTAGCCTTAAAGAAAAGACCTTCAGAAAAGAACAGAATAGCACTTACCAGTTTCACCAGAGCTCATTTAAGATGTCAGTCCATTTGTCAAACTGCTTGTGCTTCTAATGAAGGTAAACTTAAACAAGAGAAATACTGTTTTTTTCACTGATCCATCCAGTTCTGTGTGATTTCTACAATAATGACCAATAAAGCTAACTGAAAGGATACGTGATGGATCACCTAAGAATGTGTTGGTCTGCCATATCTAAGAGACAAAAGTATTTTGGTTATATGAGTCTTTAGATGGTTTTTGTCATCTGCCTTTGGTTTATGGTTTTGAAACAGTGCTGTGTGATAGGCTTGGTGGCAATGTTGGGGCCCATAAGGAGTGAGGAGTGCCCATAAGAAGTGCTTGGTGAGCATGAGGCTCTTTAGTCCTGCTGAAATGAGAGTGCAGGGAGAAGTGACAGCATCAGGATAAAGGTTGACTTCTGCAAAAGGCAGAGTTTATCTGTTCCCTGCAGACCTGTGGGGCCTGGGACATGCCCAGAGTGAAGCTCCAGCCAGTGATTTGTGGGGCAGGTAATGAAGTATTTATTGGGTGATCTTTTAATGGCTGATTCAGACAGTGTCTGAAAGGGACTGGGAGAGGCTCTGCAGATCTTTTGGGTCTCCCTGGGGTTGAGAGGTGCACAACTGGCTTTTGCTGTCTCCTGCTACGGCTACATCTCATGTGTTCACTGGCTCGTAGCTGTGTTTCAGTGGGCTTGAGGCAGCTTCTCTACCAGATGAGTGATGTGTTGAATCAACTGTGTTTAGTGCTTGGGCAAGAGTCTGCTGCCTAGCATTGCATGAATCAGTGGGTCAGGTAATACTTAAAGGAGTCATTCTGTACACAAGGTATGTCCTCTACCTGGAGCTGCACCTGACAGCTGTGGAAAACCTTGAACATGGGGGGTATCGTGTGATGAACAGGAGTAAGTTGTTCCTTATCTGACCCTGATCTTGTGTTACAGAGCCAGAGTGATGACAAAATTAGTTATTTTCCCATTTTTAGATCCACATCATTTTCCTATTCGAAATGAGTGTTTTCATGGACAGTTGCTGCCAAGCACTTGACTGCAGATTTGTCAAGGACTGCTGTGAAGCAAAGAACAAGAAATACCCAGTTGCCTGCTATGTTTTGTAATGTATTTTTAGTAGGAGACCATGCTGCAGCATCTTTTTCCAAATTTTGGCTGATGGCAGTATAGAGGCTGTCAGTATTCTGTACAGACTGCACAGGTTTGCTTAGCAAGTTTTCATTTTAGAGTGTATCACTTTAAGAATATATCACTTTAGAATATATCACTTTAACCACTTTAAATGGTTAATAGCTAAAGTCTTCTAGGCAGGCACCATTTTCCCCTTTGTGTACTCCTATCACAGTGGTTTTCTCCTTGGTCAGTCGAGTTCCTGACTGCCATTCAAGAGAACTGGAATAGCAAATAACCTCTTCAAGGAAAACCTCACGTTGGATTTCCCATTTGTGGAATGTTGTAAAATTAGCATTCAAGTATTGTATGCCTTGGTCACCTTGGAAAATACAGTGTCATCTCTGCAGCCTGGTTGGACTAGTCCCTGCCTGCATCATTTGGCAGCAGTTTGGAAAAACACTTGCAGGAAAAATCTTACCTAATGCTGAACAAGGACCATTATCTGAATGAGGGAAATCTCTCAGAGAAGCCTGTTTTCCCTGTCTTCTGTTGTACAGTTCTGACTTCATATCCATGCATCATCACTTTCATCCTTATTTACAAATGCAAGACACAACATTAACAGGGTCTCTTCCTCTCTAGAAGAGCTTCTCCCTCGAGCAGATCTTTGCCAAACACCAGCTCTAAACCAATTGCTGTATTCTTAAAATGCTTTAAACAAGACTTGTAAGGAAGTACCACATTTCCAGAATAACTCTTTAATTATATACTTTGGGGACTGTCTTCTTACTCCACTGCGCCATGAAAGATTAATTTTCTCTTGGCATTATAAAAATCCCTAGATAATGTTTTTTTCTGTTCCTCAAGACAATGTGTGCTTTCTTTTACTGTAATCAAATATTAAACTATGCAGAAAACGAGACATCTGAAGCATCTGAGGCATCAAACACAAGAGAATAGGATGTGTGAGAAATTCTAAGAGAAGTCAATGAGTCATAGTGGGAGTGACCTACATTCTGTCTTAAAAGGCTTCAAGGAATAACGATCATAGTAAGTTTTTGCAGTAGAGTGGGTCTTAGGGGCTTTGCGACATCCACCACATATTGCAGTCTGAATGGACAGGGCTGCCAGTGGCTTCTGCTCCAGGATTGTGCTTAGGACCAGTTGTGGTGCTGCAGCAGCAGGAGGTTGGTGGGACGCCATCCTGGAGGAACTGCCAGGAGTAGAGGTGTTGGGAGAGTAGTTAACAGCTAGAAAGTGGCAGAAGCTGCAGAGGGCAGTTGTGTTGCTGGTTGGAGTTTTCACCGTTGCTTTTAGTCTGATCCCAGTAGGATTTAAGTCCAATTAGGTTGACAGGATAATGGTATCTTGGTGTCCAATGGCTGTAAAATTGTATTTAGCAAGATGTTAGCTGGATGATGTATTCCGAATAGTGCTCCCATAAGATGCAGGTTTATGTCAGTGGTGGTAGTGAGGGACAAGAGCCACAATAAGCAGTTGTGGATTGTTTAAAAATCAGATTAAGGGAAATGTTTTTAAAAACGAGCAGTTGTCTCACGTGTTACCATGTCTTGCACACAGTATAGTAGCAGCACTGCAAGGTGCAGGTGACAATAGTGGTTTCACTCTGTAGGAGCCATTCAGTAGCAGCTGGTTTTGCACATGCTGACAGAAGAATCACTGGAGCACTTTTCAGTGTATCCAACACCAGCTACTAAGAGTCTTCATCTGGAATTTCTGCAAAGTAATTGATATCTTTAGCTAAATGAAACCAAAGTTGGGAAGCATTTTCTTTGTGCAGTCTGTAAAGCTGAGCCAAGAATGTATTTCTGCATTAACTGTGCTCTGCGCTATGCAGATTTTCATCCTCTCTTCAGTGTCAAAAAACTTCTGAAATAGTGTGCCTGCATAATGAGCACAGTAATAGGGGGGATATATTGTCAGCCACCTGACCTGTATGGTAGCACGGTGTGCTAAGAGGCGAAGGCACAAAGAGCTGCCAGACTGGCACTGTCAGACTTCAGCCATGCCTGTGTAAGTCACAATGAGGCATCATTAGAAAATGGCATTTTCAGTGCTTCAAAAGGCCTTGAAGCACCTCATCAGAGGGCACAAAAGAAGAATCAGTCCTTGAGTTTTTGCCCTGGGAACTGCACAGAACCTGAACACTACAACTGAAAGGCACTTAGTAAGAGTCCTTAATGTGGTCAAATTCAATGTCCTACTAAGACGTAAAAGCAAGAAAGTAATCTGGCACAGAAAAGCTTAATTGTTCAAAAGCAACAACAACCACAACAAACAGCTAGATAAAAATGAGGGGGCAAATTAGACGCAGTCAGGTTTCCTGTGATCCCTGCAATGGGAGAAAGAGGTTTCCGTGTTAATGAAGCAGAGAAAACATTTTTCAATTCAAATACGTTCTAAGGTAGCAAATGTAATTTGAAGCAATTTAAAAGCAGTTAATATGTTTTGAAGAAGGAACATCGGCAGTTTCGGTTTGTGGAGGTGAGTGTCCTGTGTCCAGGTCGGTGTGTCCACAGGAAGCCTGTGTTTGTGTGTATCTTTGGTAGGTTCTATGGGAGCACACTGTAACAGGCTCCCTTCCTTCCCCCTGAAGTCAGATGCTGCCCCATCTACCACAGTGGCAGCTCGCTTAGGGGACATGTGCCAGCTTTGGCTGAGGTCCCCTGTGCTGGGCGATTTGATCTCCTTCATTTGGCACAAGCTGTGCCAGGATGGTGAGCTCTCCCTGATGAAGGAGACAGTAAAAGCAATTCAGCATTCCTATTCAAAGCATGAAGGAGAAGTGAAACAGGATCCCTCACTTCATTTACTCAGTGTGGAAAATTTAGATCCTTCTTTCTCTTAAGCCAGGACTTGTCTCAGGGCTTGTCTGTTTTCTACCCTCCCACTGCATCTCACTATAGCAGGCTTGTGGCTGGCTGCTGCTTGGGTTTTGGCATGAGGAATGGAGGTAACATACTATAATGAAGCATTACAGTTCTTCTGAGGTTGCCGTCCTTGTTTTGCTGTTATTAATCCCTCCTAAAAGGTTCATTGTCTTGAGAGGAAATAGAATCAGTGATTCACTGGGCCAAAATCTGTCATTAAGAATGTCACACTGCAACACTTTCAGATCGCCAGGCTACTGAGTGGTACAACAGAAGCCCCTATCTAAGGTAGTCCTGAGAAGGCAACAGCTGAATTCCCACTTCACTTCAAATGGCCAATAAATCTCACTGAATGACAGATGGTTAGGTTTCAGGAGGATGATGGAAGAGAAAATTCATAGCTGCTGCTATTCTGAGAACCCTGGGCACCACAATGATTTGATACACACATAAAGGTTAAGATGATCCTGCAGATGAGGATCAGATGGCTAGGTGTTTGGATTAAAACAAACATGTGCTTTTCACAAAGAAATTAATGTAACTCTTTGCATTTTTTATTTAATTTGTGTTGTGAATCTCCCCGTCAGGTGATTGAACTATAGAAATAAAACCAGAAGTAAGTCAACCCAAAAAGAAAACATGAGAAAAAAAAAAAAGACAGGCAAAAATACCCAACACAAAAACTTCCTGTGATGAAAGCAAAATCTCTGTCTCACACTCTGACCTTGGTGCAAGCATACCACAGTGAGGTGGCAGAAATCCATGTTCTGGAATGATTTCTTGCTGCTGAACACCAGAGAAAAGCGATCTCTTACTATGTTGGCATCACCAAGCAGCATGGTGTGAGTGGAACAAAGCAATTAGTGCTGAGCATTCGGTCTCTGTGTTACAGATGCTTTAGCCCCCTGGCCTTAGAATCACAAGGCTAACACAGGTGAGTGACAGTCTATGGTTGTGATCTCCACCCCTGAGAACAGGATAACAAAACTCAGCCACAATTGCACAGAAACTTGGTTTGGTGGATTTCTAGTGAGTTTTCTGAACACAAGGTAAGGGTAGGTTTATGCTGTATGTGATAACATAGTTAATTTGTTTTTTACAGGTGTTATCCCTCAAATATATTCAGTTTTATGTCTGCAGTTTCTGTTATTCTGGACTCGGATGAACTGTGTAAAGCAAGAATTATGAAAGCAGAACCTCAGCATAGTGATAGTTAAAATCACTGCAGTAATTTTAATCATACGCATTCATCCTTCTTTTCAATACAACATTTAAGCCTAATTGTACTATGAAAAGCCAATGGTGCTATCTTATTCAACATATCTTCTGGTTGGTTGTTCTTAGTTACGTATTTTAAGAAGCAGAAAGGGTGGTGCGTAACCAGCTATAGAACCTCCTCTTGATGTTAATCTGTTTATAAGATTGCTTCTTGGTGTCTGCAATACTTACACCTCAAGCTGCCGTTAGGTATTCTGCCAGTGTGGAAATAGCCCTGCTTTGCAAACTAAATCAGTTCCACTTGAATAATTTAGAGAGCACCTTGGAAGGAAAACAAACCAAGGGAATAAAAATGTTCTAAATGTTCTGGTTAGACGTCTTTCATGGGATATGTTTTTATTTGCACATAAATCCATTTTTTGTGTAGTCACTATTTAACTTCATAAATAGACATGAACGAGAAAAATGGCATAGTACAGGCATGATCTTAGTTTCCAGTGTTTTAATCCTATTTTATATGCTCAGTAAAACTGAGGTTAAAGCCAAATGCCAAAACCTGAAGCCCTCCCTGAAATGATACTTTGAACTTCTGCAATTTTAGCTGCTAGCGCTAATGAATGTATAATGTGCTCTTGCTAGAGCAAATGGTTTGTTCCAAAGTGGGCTTGTTTTCTCTAGCTTATCCTGTCATTAGCAGTCCCTCCCTGACGAGTGCTACAAGTACTAAATATATTACCATCATCAGCTTCTACCAGTACCTGCCATGCGTCCTCAGAAAACTCACTGGATTCTTGACTTCGACCTAAAAAAACCTGTTTGCTCAGACAAGATTGTTGAAAGTGTCTCATTGCCCTCCATAAACCAGACCGAATTCACACAGATCTGGCTTGCAGATAGAATCTTTCTGATCATTCACCTTTTCGGTTTCTCCATAGGCACATGAATTAGCAAAGACTGGTAAGAAGATTTTCCTAATTAAGTTCATTATGCACTTCAGAAGGATCTCTGTAGGCATAGAAAGAAACCAGTGTTGTTCTGCTTGCTGCCTTTTGTTGTCTTCTCTGTTCTGAAATTAAATTAGCTCTTGGGCAGCTGCCTTTCCTTGCTCTGTGGTGAGGTATGCACAGTGTCCCTTAGGGTTAATAAATGGCTGTTCCTAATATGTTCCTCTCATGACAATCATTCCAGTACAGTCATAAAGTGCATGACCTGATTTATTAAGATATTACAGTAAAATACTCAGACTGCTTCCGTGAGTACCTCACAAGGAATGTACATCTGGAATTTATAAATGCAGTGGTGTAAGTGTCACATACACAATGGATTGCCGATGTTGAAAGTGGTGGCATCAAAATGATGTTGAAATGAGTGAAAAATATTCTAAAAGCCCCTAAATTTCTGACCTGATGGTCTTGTGTAATATTTGTATGGTTTCATATTGACACCAGTATTACTTCTTCTTCTTTCACAATTCACCTGCTGCATCTCTTTAAATATTCATCGTGACCACCATGCTGGCCGAACTAGGTACCACAGCATCATTTGATATGCATCCTAAACTCTTCTCCTTTCCTTTCCAGCCTCTGGTCTTTCAGGCACTAAGCAGCATCTACCTGGCTAGAGTTTTACTTCCATCTTGGTGGCTTTTCTTGGTGATGGCTTTGATTCATCTGTCTCAATTTTATCCATTAAAAATGTTAGCGTTAAAGTTTCTAGCATGTGAGCCATAGGCAATTGCTGTCATTTGCCTTAGGAGGAGAGTGCTTCCATCCATTTGT